TATATATATATATATATATATATATATATATATCAGTATCTGTATCTATATGTGTATCTGTATCTGTATCTACATATATCTTTATTTACATATGTATCTTTATATGTATATGTATCTGTATCTGTACAGCTGGGTCGGTATCTGTATCTTTATATGTATACGTATATTAATATGTATATGTATCTTTATATGTATCTGTATGTGTATCTGTATCTGTATCTGTATCGGTATCGGTATCTGGGTCTGTATCTGTATCTTTATATGCATATGTATCTTTATGTGTATATGTATCTGCATGTATACCATTACCTTTTTATCTGTATAAGTATCTTTACCTTTTTATTCGTGTCTAGTATCAGTATAGAGCTTTCGATTTTATATAGCAGCATGAATTTTTTATTTGTTTATCATTCGGTATACAAGACGTTGACCCTAACGTTCGATACGTACGATAAACATTTCGTACTCAATGCGAAATTTTCTTTCGGCCCCTTTGTCTTCTTCTTTTCTTTCTTTTTTTTTTTTTTTAGATTAGCCGGCAAAAACGAGTGGATTAACCGGTTTTCACTTGGCTTATTGTTGTCTCGGTTGACGTTTCTGTTGTTGTTATTGTTGTTGTTTGCTTTTGGTTGCTTCACACAGCTAATTAGCTGAGTAGTTGTTGCTGTGTGTCTGCTGGCTTGGAGAGCTGCCCGCCCGTATTTTGTAATGCTTGACCAGCAAATTAAGGCAAGTGGCTTCTAATTGCCATACTACATTATTTATTGTTTCGTGTGTTATTTTTAGATGAAGCTTGACTTTTATTTTGCTAATATTACACATCTATTTGGGTTGTTAATAGACGAAAAATCTTTAATATACCTTAATTATTGCTGGAATATATTTAGTTACTATTTTAAAATTTCATTTTCCACTAATGATTTTTTATTTATATTTATTTATGGTTCTTTTTCCTTTTTTTTAAATATTTATATATGATTTAAATTAAAAAAATAAATTTTCCATATATGTATGTATGTATATACATGTATAAATATATTTATATACATGCGTACACTTGTTTAATAAGCCCTGCACCCAAATAGCACTTGACTGTGAACACAACAATAATTAGAGTCATACAAAAGCCACAATAATACAGATAGAACTCGGCGTGGGGCGCAAGAGTATTGTGTAGAGTGCAGAGCTGAGGGCGTTACGAATGCCCAAGACCCATAGACAATAACATTGAAATAAATGCTCAATCATGCAGAAATTAAGTTAACATTTTCATAAAAGCACACAAATAATTACGCTCTCTGTGTGGGGGTTTGGGGGTGGCATGAGTAAAGAGGGTGGGTTTGGTATACGATTCCTTTTTGTACTCTTATAATTTTAGTACCCACTTTCCTAATTACTTGGCATTGTTCTTTGTATTACTCTTATTTCACAAACGACGACTGCATTTAATCGCTTTGCTTATTTATGTGCGTCTGTTATGTGCCTCTGTGTGGACGTATTTATGTGTGTGCGTGTGTGTGTATACAGATGAAATTTATGGTTAGCTTTACTCAAATGGGTTTTTCCTCAGAATTTTATTGAATTTAATTTGCCTTCTAATTTGAGAATTTTTTCTTATGTATTTTGCAGTCAGCCTTAATGGCTTTTATATATTGATTCGTATAAATTTAATATTAACATGCCAAGAAAAAAATTATGTAATACTAATAAACTATTATTAGTATTTTTCTTCTTTATTTTATTTTTATTATTACAACCAATATTACTTTTGATAATTTTGTAAATTAAAAATAAATAATTTAATTGTTCGTTTACTTGTTATATTTGATATTTTCTTCCATTTATTCGGGTAAAGTTCTATTTAGTTTTTTTTTTTTTTTTTTTCATTTTAAATTTTTTTAAGAATAATAGAAAATCTATGCATATTTTTATTACCTTTTTTTTATTTTATTGCAAATCTGTGTTTATTTATTCATTTTTCAAAATTTATTTTACAATAAATGAACTTTTTTCCTTTGAGATTGAGATTATTGAGATTACAATATTCATTTTCTAGCAGCTTTTTTATTTTTTTTTTTTAAATTTTTTTTTTTTTTATTTTATTTATTTATTTATTTTTTTATTTTTTTTTTTTTTTTGTTCTCTTCATCTTTTACTTTAATTGAATGCCTGCAAAAAATAGTATTTCCTTTCTAGGCCCATCTGTGCGTCATGTTCTAAGGCTCTCAACAAATTTCTTTGTAAACTTTCAACAAAATATAAGCGAAACACTTTACTTTTAAGGCCATAGAACTTTGTTACAGCTACAAAATTTTACAGCTTCTACAAAACGTGCCTCACAATCAAGGTTTTAGCAACAGCAACCGCAGCGACAGCGGGAGCTACCATGACAGCAGCCGTCTTTGCAGGTGAAACAATAGATACGCTTTGCTCAGCCCGCAGGTGTCAAGGTCTTCACAATAGCAGCCAGTTGTCTCATGCAGATATATCTATCTACCTATATACCTATATATATACACAGATGTATCTATACATTCCGGCATATATTAACGAACTGACTGTGTGAAACTGAGATCCGAACAAAGCTCATGTTAAATAACGCTCGAGTTGAGTCATACGAGAGTTATGTGTACGGAAATCAAATAAAAAACCGAATATATATATATGGATCACGTATTCTTACGACTTTTGGAGAATGAGAAAAATGTAAATCTTAAAAAGGCGTTGAGTACGATTCCATGAAAACAACGTTTATATCATATGTTGTTTATTATACTTTAAAAATCCATTAATAAATGAACAACAAACGGGCATCTTTAAATTATGTAAATACATTCTTTTATATTTGCACACAAGATCACTTACCATTTACGATGATAATGAAAATGATCGACATGAAAACTATATTTAATCCACATGTTGATGACATTATATGCAAATGGTATCCAACGTGTCGAAAGATGTGAAATCCTTAAGTTTTCTGAATTTAATATTTTTTTATTTTTATATATTTTTATTCACTTCTATTGGCAGTAGTTTAATTTGATTTTGGTTGTGAGAGTTTTGATCGAATCTCACCTAACTGCAACAAATTTCCACTTTAACTTGATTTCCATTTAAAATTTACTATTTTCACACATATCCACACACGCACACATATAAGAGCACCATCAAATTTTACACCACTTTTAGCACTCACGAACTTTTGTTTACTATTATTATTACTTTTTTTTTCTCCTTTTTTTTTTGGGTTTTATGATTCTTTATTTAATGCGATCTTATTTGAACACCCGTCACGTACACTGTAACAATTTTATATATAATGATTTATGATTTTTATACATCACTTTTCACTTTTTCGCTACTATTATTATATATTCCTCCTCTTTTTTAATTTTTTCCCGTAAAAATCAATGGAAAAGAAAACGAAAAACCGAGAAGAAAAAAATCACCGCAACGCGTTCGAAACGAAATTTACAGTTTTAAAATTTTTAACAAAGTTGTTGCTGTTATTGTTGTTGGAGATGTTTTTGCGGTTATTGTAGCAGAGCTGTAAAATAAGAAGATAAGAAAGAGGTAAGTGGGGAGCAATGTGAATGCAGCAGCTGTTGCTTGCGTGAGTGTCTTTCGAGTTCTTGGCTGTCTCAAGTCGTCAGCGTAAGAGAGATAGACAATATAAGTATTGAGTGGTGAACTAGGTAACATACACGTAAACACACACACCGCCAAATATTTGAATTTATGCTTTATATTTAATAGCGGCTGGTTTAATATTTTTTAATATCTACAGCAAAAATAATATATTACAATCACCACTCTCTTCTATACTCATTAAATAAACATAAACTAGAATATAAAACACTCACAAACATGACTCAAAACAAAACTCACTCAACAGAACCAATTGAGTACGCGCACAATCGAGAGACGCCACGACAGAGTGAGAGAGTGAAAGAGTGAAGTTAAGCAAAAGAGAGCGCATACTCATTGCAATTGCATAGAATTTTTATGTTATTGTTGATTGTGCGCGTTTATTTTGTTATTGTTGCTGCGGCATAAACAAATGACTTGTTTTAAAATAAAACACCGAACTATAACAAATATAAACCAAAATAAAAGCATACTGATTGGAATTGGATAAAAATTTATGTTAATATTTCGGATTTTTTTCTGCGGTACAAACAATGAAGGCGCTGTTCAAACAGCCGCCGCTATAAACAAACATTTTTGTATTTATATTTTCACATATTTGGGTGTGATTTTAGATTCTAAAAAGGTTTACATTTCACAGTTTTGTGATGCTAATTAAATATTGTTATGCCGCGTTACTCATTGCCTGTTACACACACAGGCACGCACATTCACTCAGTCACTCACTCACACACACAAACACACGCGAGCATACTTACATGTTTGCTTATGCTTTGTGTATGTTGTTCTCTTATGTTGTTGTTTTTGTGCGCGCATTAAATGCGTTGAAATGCAGCCATTTTGTCTTGCAATTGGCACTCACACACACGTTCGGCTGTTGCGATTTTGTGTATTATTTATTGGTTTAATCGCCAGCCACGAATCGCTAAAATAGCCGCCGCATATTCATGTTATTGGATTTTTTAGATCTTGTTAATTTGTTAATCCAAAAACACGCACAAACACAGAAACACGCGCGACGCAACGACGAATCATCAACGGCTTTCCCGAGATTTTACTACGCAACCGACGCACGACCTACCCGTCCAATGGTCTTTTTTGAACTCAAGAGCGCGACCAGAACATAAACAGTTTACCCTCATTTCATGTTATTAAACATTTGCCTTTTTGAGTACAACAGCATGTTAGACCGCTGTTAATAAACACCTCGATGGCGGGCAATTTATTTATTGCATATTTATGATAAAGAGAGGAGCAGTTATCAAATTTTTTATTTCAGATTTAATTATTTTTTCTCAAAATACTTAAATAATTGTAAGATTAACTAATTGTGGGACATTTATACGACAAGTGGTGGAACATTTTGTATAAAATCTTTGGTATTTTTACATAGCCAACTACGGTCACATTGCACTTGTAGAGCAACTCTGTTTTCATATGAAGCAATAATTTTTGAGCAGCTTGGCGTCGTTATAAGTAAAATTTATTAACAATATACAAACAAAGCGCCTGACTTGTTAATTTAAACAGTAAAATAAACTGTATATGAAATGGCTCAAATCTGGATGGACAACGAAAATGCGGGTGCACACAGTAAGTGAAAAAAAAACGCGGAAAATACGCAGTGTTCTTTCTTAGCGCCGTAAATTGAAAATTCGTAACTTATATCTTTTTAGTGTTGCCCCGTTCAGCGCGCAAAGCCATGGGCGACAATTCACTGCAGCAGTCCGCAAAGAAGAGCGTGCTTGGCAAGTTGGACAACATGTTGAACAATAAATCGCATATGACGCCCTTCAAAGGCGCCAACACGAAATTTCCCGCTAGTTGCGCGCCAAAAATTTCCCTTTGCAAAGAAACGCTGCAGAAACAGCATCGGAAGCTGCCCCAAAAGGCGGCGGCGTCCCAGCAGCTGCTGGAGGCGCAGTTCAAGGCGCCGCAGTCGGTGCCGAATGTGGCGAACGATCTTTATGCTAAATCTGCCGACTCCACTAATGACTTCGATTTATACGATTATATGGATTTCCCCTCAGAGAAATGCTTAAACAATTGCCAGAAACGTGAGTTCAATTAATTTAGTATATAATATTCCATTGTCCTATTCTCTCCTATTCTACACGGTTACATTCTCCTCTGTAATTTTTCTTCCCTCTTTCTCTTTTCTTTCACATTCTTCCGCATTATTCTCTGTTATTCTCTTCTCCCTTTTTTTCTCTCATAATCCTTCGTTCTTTTTTTTGCTACTCTTTTTTATTCTGCCCTTTATTTTCACTTTCTTTCCACATCATTCTCTTTTATTCTTCCGATTCTTCCTCCTTTTAATTTCTTTCTCTTTCCTTATTTTCTCGTTTGTTGTCTTTCCACTTCTTCTTGTCTCTCCTCAACACTCACACCATCCTCTGTTACTGCTCTATTCATCTTTTCCTTATCAAGTCTTCTGTTCTCATCTCATCTCATCTTTCAGCAATCACATTTAAGAATTTCGAACCCATGATCAATGAGGAGCTCATATCTAAATTACTGAACACAATGGAAACGGATGAGGAAATTGTGGAAGATATCCCTATTCATCTCGATTTTGATGCTGACGATATAGACTGCCAGCCAATAACATATAAATCGAATGAAATCGAACCTCTTAAAGAAGATATATTCAATCCTCCGTTGCCATCTTATTCATATTTCACAGACTTCGAGTGGGAGCTTTAACAGAAAATCCTCACTAAATATGTTAGAATCAATTTTGTTTTAGTCATAATTTCTATATTTAAGTTAAAAAGAGACGAAAATTAGTTGTTAGCTGTACGAAGTATTTCTGTTATATGATATAGTTCTTCAATTTGACAAAGCTGTATGCATTTATGTAATAATTCAAATTTAGTATTATCCATTATTAACTAGAATTTTGAACTTAAATAGTTTTGATTTCAATGCGAAAAATTGTTTATTAATGTAGCGCATTTTGTTTGTAATTTGTATTAATAAAAATGTAACAAAACTTATATAAGCTCTTTATATTTGAGTCTCTTGAAATCCAAACTAATTTTAACTAGACTAAGATTTATAAACTTCCCTTTCATATATCATATATCATGCATGAATCCAATCTTATCTTAGTTATTTATCGTAATTATCTATTTATATGTCATGTCGAGGCTATAACGGCATATCTGGTACACCGAAATTTATATGCACGTAATATAATATCTATAAGCTGTAAGAAGCTGAAATTCAATCTAGAATATTCTTTAGAATCCCCAGAATATTCCTGGCAGAACACAATCTTTTATCTCAAATATTTAATAGGATTATTATACCCAACTGTTCAAGCATTTATTCTATTGGATTCTATTTAGTGAAAGCCCAAATTATAGTTCAACAGATATAAGTAAAAACAATACATACATATTTTCTGTTTATTCTAGCTCAGTGGGAATGGAATGGGAATATTCCATTATCCATTAATTAAAACATATAAATATCTCATATTATTTATATAATTTGTATTTGTTTATGGTTCATGGACTCAGCTTAAATCAGAAAACAAAACGTTTCGCTTAATTATTTAGTTAAGAGAGAGTTCTTTCTCTGTTCTTTAACTTAAGGATTTGCATAAATATACACTTGCAAAAATACAAAAATGTTCAGATACTGGAAATATTACAAGAGGTTAAATGCTTATATAAATAAAAACAAAGACGATTACACAACAAAAACAGGACAATAAAATAGAGACTAACGGAACGGAACGATCTTTGAATTGCTATAGATTTCATAAATCCGACAGCAATCGGTCAAGGGGCTCTCAGTACACCCAGATGTGCTCGAGTATACCGTTATCCAGCTGATCGGCGGGCAGCGCCTTGAGCGTACGCAACGTCTCCATGTAGAAGGTCAGCTCCGAGGTAACAACTCCGTGCTGCGGCCCCCCATTATTGTAGACATTCAGCTTGAGCAGCTGCTCCCGCAGCTTGTCCTTGAAATTGCGATGCACCACACCATAGATCTCATGGATCTGTGCCTCCGGCAGCACTCCGGCGATCGCCTCATGCAGCTTGACCAAATGCCTGGAAATATGACGAAATGTTTGCGAAGGAATCGGCGGCCGAGCATCCCATGCCTCCAGCTGTGCCGCAATCCGTTCCGATACGATGCCATGGATCTTATGCTCGATCTCCTTGATATGACCCTGATAGTCCCGCTCGATCGCCTCGTACCCGCTCATGCTCTCGAAATGATCCCGCAGCCGGGGCAGCAAATAGAGCACCAGCTGGAGCGCCCGCGACACCAGCGCCAGGTTCGTGCTCGTGATCGTCTTCAGTCCGGCCACGCGCATCGCTCCGGCGCCAATGATCAGCTGGCAGCTGCGCGAATTGAAGCAGCGCAAGAGATCTATGACGTTCCGTGAGTGGTATCCGGCCAGCAGGGGCAGACGCTGAGCACTGCCCCCATACTCGTACAGCATCTGGATGAGGAGCAGCGCCACGCTGACCAGAGCGAAGGGCTGCTTGCCCTCGACGAGGAGCACCGGATTGCCGGCCACGATGCCGCCGATGCCCGTGATGTGGCTGCTGCCATCCAGCGGCGCCTGCTTGGAGTAGTCTCCCGCGGACATTCTCTCGATAATCCGCTGGAATTCATGTGGTATGTCCACCTGGCGCCAGCGCTCCTGATCCAGCAGCAGGGCCAACTTTTGTTTGCGCTCCGCATGGAAGCGTTGTGCGTACCGCGAGGCCTGCACCTTCAACGCCAGCTGGAGCGGCACACTCGCCACCCCACAAATGCTGAGTGTGGCATCGCCAAACTCCTGCACCATCTGGGACAGCTGCAGCAGCTCCTGCTCCGTGGCCACGCAGCGCTCCAGGCTCTGTGGCGAGACAATATTGGCGCAACGCTCGTGGCAATAGTGGCAGACGGCCTGGAGCATCTGCTGGAGCTGCGCGCTGAGCTGCTCATGGTGTGCAGCACTGAGAAAGGCGTCGGCGTCGATGAGGTTGACGGCATGCTCGTGCGGATCGAGGCCACCGGCGGCAGCATCGGCCGTTTGCTGCATAATCGAAACCACCGCCTTGATCCGCTCCAGCACAGCGATCAGGGCGTGGCTGGCTCGCTGCAGCATGGCCAGCCACTCGGGCAGGGTCAAGTCCAGGGCCTGCTCGCCCGCCCCAGTCAGACACAGCTCCTGATCTCCACGAGAAAGGAGCTCAATGAGCAGCTGCTTAATGATCGCCCGAATCGTGGCGATCGCCTCCTGCTGATAGCTCTGCACGAAGCTGAAGTTCTGCTTGCGCAACAGCCCCATCACAATGGCCACCAGTTTGTCCTCCTCGGCACAGACGCTGTCGGACTCCAGATCCGCGTCGGACAGCGGGCGATTCAGATCGTTAGCTGCATAACGTTCGAATTCCGTAGTCAACATTTTATCAATTAGCTTCTCCATTTCGCCCAACTGCATGGGCAGGTGCTTGAAGCAGTGGACGCCCAGCAGCTCGGCTGCAAGAATCTCCTGTGTGGTGCTAATCAGATCTAAGGCGGCCACATAATCCTGTGTGCCCAGGAGCAACTGCAGCATGGGCTGCGTCTTGTGCACGGTGGCCATGAGCCGAAGCTTGTCCAGCGTCGTCTGATAGTGCTGCCGGCGCTGGGCGTAACGCATCACCCGGAAGCTGTCCGTAACGGCGCTGCCATGAAGCTGCGCCAAAGCCGACCGTAGTTGACGCACTTGCTCCGCCGCCTGCTGCATTTCCGCCAGGATCGCATGCTGTGTGGTCATGGCATGAAAGAACGCAGCCGACTTCTGGGCTACCTGCTGGGCAATGCGCACCTCCACTATGTCCAGGTAGTGGGAGAGCTGTTCCTGCAGCTGGCGTCCGAGCTGCTGGCGTTCTACGGGCGTGCCGCTGCCGTCTTTAGTGCTTTGCATATAGCCGGGAAAGACCTGGGCAAAGGTGGCCGGATGATGCAGCTGCAGCTGGGATTTCAGAAATATCTCCGGTACGGGCACAGGGCCCAAGTGCTCCGGCGTAGTCGTGGAAGGCAATTGTTGTTCCTGCTGCTGCTGTTGCTGCTGGCGCCTCTCGTGCCAGCGATAACGTTTCCCAATGCTTCCCACATAGACAGCGAAATCAGCATGCGTGATATCCGGCAGACGAGGATTGCAGGGTATTTGGACACGATCCACAAAGTGTTCGCCCCATTTTTTGGTAAACAAATTGCTCTGCTTGCCGCGCTGCGGATCATTGAGGACAGCGGGCAGATTCTGTGCCGCCGAATAGACGCCCCATTCGGGCGGCAGCTCACGCGTCTGCTGGTTCACATGATACTTGGCCACATGCGCATCATAGTCACGATCAGAGACGCCATCTAGTGGGAGAGAGGCGCAGACGCCATTGAAGCCATAGCGGCACACAAATGAGCCGCCTTCACGAGTGCAATGACGAGTGCGCAGATGACTGTGAGAGGTAGAGGCAGGAAGAGAGAACATGTAGAGAGTGGTATAAAGGATATTTCAGCTTCACTCACTTGATAAACTCTGCCACGCTCTTGAAATGCTCGCGTGTGCAGTAATAACAGTTCTGCCAGCTGGGCGCATTTACGCCAGATAAATTGAAATTCGAATTCGAATTCGAGGCGACAGAATGTTTGCGTTCAACATGTTCAGCCGCAGTTGTTGTTGTTGTTGCAGTTGTTGCAGCTGTTATTGCCGCTGTTGCTGCTGCTGCTGTTGTTGTTTTATTGTACTGAGCTGTGGCCATAACACATCCTTATTCCAGCTTGGACCCAATTTAATGTATTCTGTATATGTACATACATACGTATACATATGTATATGCAAACATGTATATATTTAGTTATATTTTCTAATTTTTTTCTATTTTTTATTGCCGAAATCTTGCCGCAAACGTTGACGTGTTATGTCAATATTTAACTTTATCTCTCGTTGCGTGCATCGCTCGATTCTTTATGTTGCATTTTGTCGCTTTGCCATTGGTTGCGGTTTTACTTTCTATTTAAATAGCTGCTACGAGCATAGCTCTTGTAGTTTAAATAATTTTGTTGTTGATTCGTTTTGGGCTTAAAATGTACAATGGAACAATATTATGATGACGTGATTCAGTGCTGGGCAGCGTTTAAAGTTACGGATCAGGGCAGTACACGTTCAAGCACATATGATGGCCGTGAGTGCATTACGTGTTTGAGTAAATGTATATTTTCTTTTCTTATAAAGTGACACTTAAATTGTTGCTGTGAGTACTTCTTATTTTATGAATTCAAACGGTATTACATATACTTCTTTTTGAGTCAACAAAGGAATAGGAATAGGCTGCGATTTGTCAGACATCATGTATGAGCTATTTTTTAGTAAATGGATATACTGCTTAATTGACACAATTGCACATCGCACATATTGTAACGTGTTGCAGCTGCTGTGTAGCCAACAGCGTTTGACAGCACTGATCAGAACAGCTGATTGTAACAGAAGGCGGTCTGTTAAGTAACCGAACGGCGTTCGAAGGTGTGACGTCACATTTTCGAATACCTGTGACGTTCCAAAAGAGCTATTATATAAAATTAAAACTAACTGCTCTGTGTAACCCAAAAATTATTTTAATAGTAAGCTGGTAAAGCGAACAATACTTAAAATAACAAAATATTAAACACTTGTTATACTTATCTAATATATTTAAACGAATTTAGTAAAAGCAGAGTTGGCCCAGCTTTTTCTTTTAAGGTCCACATCGTACCTATTCTAACTTTCTGCCACTGCTTTCAAGTGTTTCGCAGCACTGCACGAAACAGTTTCAATAAGAAGACGAGCTGTTGCAAAATTTTCGACAGTTTTACGCGCGCGCGTTCTTTAAACTGGTGGCATGCAGTTCGGACGTCTCCCACAAAAATTTTCAATATAAATGCACAATGCGACTGTGGCGCAAACGCCAGTTGCTGATTCTAACCGTCTGCTTCCTCTGGCTGTGGAGCGTGGCTCTCATCTATTGGTATGTTGTTAACCGCGAGAAGGACGACATCCGAGATCGTGTACCGCTGCTGCTCTGGTGGACGAACGATATGACCTGGCCGTACAACGAGTTGCGTCGCTGCGGAGCGCGGACATGTCATGTCACGAACAATCACAAAAAACTGCAGGAAGCCAGGGTGAGAAAGAAACGAATATACTTAGAGAGAGAGAGAGAGAGTGAGCAAGGGAAGCGATGTCGTTGCATCCGGCTTTTAGCTGATAAACAAAAATTTTTGAGAATGGGAAATCGGGGTATATTGATTTTGTTCCAATGTATGTAACAGGTAGAAGGGGGCTCGGCTTAAATTGCATATATGCATGCCCGTATAGATTTTAGAAGATGTAAGAACTAGATTTTTTAAAGTATAGGTAATTGCAAGTGAAGAATACAAAGATTTTATAAATTGCTCTAAGAATCTCAACATTTATTAAGCAAAACGTTACAATTAGCAATGCAAAGCAAATTTTCACACAAACATTGAAACCATTTTTATACCCTGAACCCATTGAAAATGGGAAATCAGGGTATAATGTTTTT